GAACTGTTTCTCTTTTGCCATCCACCCTGCTGTGGAACCAGCCAACTATGGACTGAAACCCCTAAGAACTGTGAGGTACAATAAACCTTTCCCTCTTTAACTTTGGGCATCCAGTATATTGTCTCAGCAATGAGAAAAGTAATGAAGACACTTCAACATATTAATTTCAATAGTTTCAGATATACAGTACACCCAGAAGTGGATCATCTGAGAGTTCTAGGTGTAGTTTTCTTTTTTGTTGTTGTTGTTGTTTTTTTTTTTTTTTTTTTTTTTTTTGTTTTTTTTTTTTTTTTTTTTTTTTTTGTTTTTTTTTTTTTTTTTTTTTTTTTTGTTTTTTTTTTTTTTTTTTTTGATAGAGGGTCTCACTATGTAGTCTAGACTGACCTAGAACTCACTATGTAGCTCAGGCTGGTCTTGAACTCACAGCGATCCTCCTGCCTCAGCCTCCCGAGTGCTGAGATTACAGGCGTGTGCCACCATGCCCAGCTAGGTGTAGGTTTCTCTACAGCTTTTTTTTTTTTTTTTTTTTTTTTTTGTTTTTTTTTTTTTTTTTTTTGATAGAGGGTCTCACTATGTAGTCTAGACTGACCTAGAACTCACTATGTAGCTCAGGCTGGTCTTGAACTCACAGCGATCCTCCTGCCTCAGCCTCCCGAGTGCTGAGATTACAGGCGTGTGCCACCATGCCCAGCTAGGTGTAGGTTTCTCTACAGCTTTTTTTTTTTTTTTTTTTTTTTGGTACCAGGGATTGAACTTGGGACCTTGTGCTTGTGAGGCAGGCAGCGGAATCACTGAGCTAAATCCCAGCCCTCTCTACACTCTTTTTGAAATGGCTGTACTAATTTAGATCTCACCAACCTTGTGCAAAGGTTTGATTTTTTTCTTCTTTATCTCTCAGTAGTGTTTTCTTTTGTTTTTTTGGGGGGTGGGGCCCAGGCTGGCCTTAAACTTACTCAAACTTGGAGCAATCTTCCTGTCTCAGCTTCCTGAGTGTTGGGATTCCAGGAGAGTGCCACCACACCCAACACTTATGGGCTGTTGAATCACTCTAGAGATTTTAATGCTGACCTACATCCATAGTCCTTTTTATTGAGACAGATTCTTGCTACTTTGCTCAGGTGAGCCTCAACCTTTCAATCCTCCTGCCTCAGCCTCTGGAGGAGTGGAATTACACTGTCACTGTGCCCAGACTATATTTCATTTTCTTTCTTTTTTTTTTCTTCTTGGTACCAGGGATTGAACTCAGTACCTTGTGCTTGCAAGGCAGGCAATGAAGCCACTAAGCTAAAATCCTCAGCCCTCATTTTCTTGATAACAGTCATCTTAAGCATTTTTAAAATGTAGTAGTTTAGTGACATTAAATACATTCATAATGTTGTTCAACTATCACCACCATCCACCTCCAGAACTCTCAAACTTCATGTTTACTACACACTAACTGCCTACTCTCTCTCTTTTTTGGGGGGCAGATAGTAGGGATCAGATCCAGGGGCCCCAGGGCCTTCTCCCTAAGCTGCATTCTCTGAAATTTAAAATTTTTATTTACTTTTATTTTGAAACAGTCTTGCTAAGTTCCTAAGCTGCCCAGGTTGGGTTTGAACTTGGAGTCTTCCTGCCTCCGTCTCCCAGAGTGCTGGGATTCTGGAGACACGCGCACCATGCCTGGATCTCCCCTTTCCTGAATGAACTGTTCTGTGGACACTGTTCCACCAACTCCAGAGCCCCACATTAGCATTTTGCAGTTGGCGCTGCAGATTCTAGAGCTCAGGCTGGCACCACCCCTCCCACAGCCCTGTCTGTGGGAGGAAGCCGTCTCCATGTAGGCTTCCTCATGTGCTTCTACCCTGGGACAAGCTCGCAAAGACAGAGCTCGGCTCAGTGGACACACACTGGACCCAGCCTCAGGAGCCAATTGCGTGTGCATCTCTTCCCATCTCCCTGCTCAGTGGCCTTGCACAGTCGGCTTGAGATCAGCCATGGTGCTCACACACCAGGGAAACTGGCTTGTGCGATGAATCGTGGCTTTTCACTTTTCAGGCAATGGTTACTAAACCTCAGTAACACTCAACTAAACCTCACTGTCTACTTGTGTAAAAATATAAAGCCGTTTGGATAGAGACCGTTTGGATAGCAGAGAGCTGAGAGGGAGGTGGGAAGAGATGATGGCACACCCGTGCTGACCGCAGAATTGCTGGTGGGACAGAGGCTGGAGCGACCCAAAGGCAGTGCAGGGCCGTCTGCACAGTGGAAGACAGCCGGAGCACAGAAGAAACATGGGCCGGACTCCGGGCGCGGAGGAGCCCTGGGGACGCTGTGCTGAGGGGAGCCTGGAGTAAAAGATGGACGCTGCAGGTTCCATTAGAGGACAGAGGAAACAGGAAGGAGAACAGCGGTTATCGGGACGCCGCACTGGGGAGTGAGTGCAAGGAGAGGAGCTGTCGGGTGTGCAGGCGAAGACGTCCGGAGATCTGCGGCTCAGCGCAAACGCAGCACCGCTGCACTGTACACTCACCGGCAACTTTATGGCTTTTTTCCATCCACAATAAACAAAAAATAACAGTGAGGAGGGGATTGCTGGCTGGGATTTCAGAAACTTGGGTTTTGGCCCAAGCTTTCTTCTAAGCTTTTATTATTTCACTTCTCAAAGATCGTTCAATTCAGTGGGAACTGGTGTTTCCATATTTTTTCAAGGTCTAGTCCAGATTTGTATTTCCCCTTATGGGTATGCATTTGACCCAGCAACCACTATTGAAAAGGCCATTCTTCCCTCACTACAAGGCCCAAGCAATTTGTCATGGAAAGGATGACGGTATCTGTGTCTTTTCCTGGCCTCAAATCTATCAGTCCACCGATCTGTTCATGCGCTGGCGCCATCCTGTCTGAATCACTGCCTCAGTCATGGTATCTGGTAATGTCAGTGTTGGCTTTGTTCACTGTGCTTTTCCACATGAATTTTACAATTAGCAAGTCAACTTCTAACTATAAGCTACCTTTCTTCCTTTTCTTCTTTTGACAGGGTTTTGCTATTATTCCAGGCTAGAATCAAACTTGTGGAAACCCTCCTGCCTCAGCCTCCCAAGTGCTGAGATTAATCAGTGTGTGTCACCACACCTGGCAAGCACCTTTAGGCATGCTTTGTGTTCCCCAGCTTTTCATATGCTATTTTCATAAGTTCAATTGTTTTCTGTTTCTCATGACCTCTTTGACTCATGGATTATTAGTTATTTCCAAATACTTGCAGTTTTCCTAGTTATCTCGGTATTATAAATTAATTCCAATGTTTTTTTTTTTGGGGGGGGTACCGGGGATCGAACTCGGGTCCTTGTGCTTGAAAGGCAGGCGACAGAAACACTGAGCTAAATCCCCGGCCCATTTCCAATCTAATTAGAGAACATATTCTGTATGATTTCAGCTCTGTCAAATCTAGTAGACTTACTTAAGATCCTGGCATTTGGATTATCTCACTAAATACATGACAGATAAGAATGAGATGAGCCGTGTGTGGTAAACACTGGTCACCCAGTTTGTGGTTCTGCTTGGATCATTTATGTCCTCTCTGGGTGCTCGGCCCATTCTACCGCTCACTGCTGAGATGGATGTCCAAACTCTCTAACGAGGCCAAATTTTTCTTTTTAGTTGTTTTTTGTTTCACCTGCTTTGAATTGTCTCAAGGCACACACCAATCTGATCTTCGGTGTTAACTATTTTAACATTAGCGATTCTTTGTATCTCTGACTATAATCTTTGTATTGAAATCTATTGCATTTTACCTTCATCTAGCCCACCCTGGCCTGGTTAGGCATACTGCTTGTATGGCAACAATTTTTTTAGTTTCTCCACTGAAAACAGTTGAATTTTGCCAGTCTGTGTTTTATTTGATATACTTAATATATTAATATGTAATAAAATGACTGGTGGGATTTAGGTCTACTGTTTCTCCATTTTGCATTTGTTCCTTCTAAAATTTATTTTCCTGCTTTCTTTTGGGTTATTTGAAATCTTTTAACATTCTACTCTAGTTTATCTGTTGGACTTTAGATCAACTTCTTTGCATTACTTTTCTAGGGTTTAACTTTTTCTTCTTCTTTTATTTTGTGTGGTACCGGGGATCGAACTCCGGCCCTTGTACTTACAAATCAGGCAGAGTGGAACCACTGAGCCAAATCCCCGGCCCCTTAGTGCTTGACTTTTTAAGTTTTGAAATTGTACCACTTCACATAAAATGAAGAAACCCTTCCACCTCATGGGTCCACTTTTTATCACATTGTGTGTATTGCACTGACATATAATAAACCCACAAATTGATGTTATAACTTTTACTAAATTTCTTTGAGACAGGGTCTTGCTACATTGTGCAGGCTGGCCTCCAATGCACCAAACTCCTGCTTCAGCCTCCCAAGTGGGATTACAGTCATGTCTCTATAATTTCTGCTTTATAAAAAAAAAAAAGCACAGGTATCGTAAAGAGATTGAGGAAAATGGTTCTTATATTTATTCTATTATTTACCATTTCTCATGTTCTTTGTTCTTCCCCGGTGATCAAATTTCTATCTAGTATCCTTTTTCTTCAGCTTTAACAACTTCCTTTAGTATTTAGGATAGCATCTGCTGGTGATGAACTCTTGAAGGACAATTTGATATTCTACAAATTGACTGACAGGCTTTCAACGGGAGGGAAGAGGAATGGGAAAAAAAGCAGCAAGGTGGGCCGGGGATTTAGCTCAGTGGTTCCGTGGCTTGCCTCACCTCTCAAGGTCCCAAGTTCGAGTGCCAGTACCAAAAAAAAGCAGCAAGATTTATCATGTACAGATACAAATTCCCTGATGAATGTTATCATTATGTATATCTAAAATGTACCAATAAATGTTTGTGTAAAAAAAAGGCTATTCCACTCTTTTCTGGTTTCCATGGTTTCTGATGAGAAGTCGGCAGTTTTGAGTCGTTCTCTACATGCAATATGCTCCCTCAACCCCCATGGCTGAACATGTTTCCTTTTTCCCCCATTTCCCATTCACAAGACACATAAGGCACAAGGCCTGGGCTGAGGTGCATATGGGGGACTTACTTTGCCTCCTTCTTCTATACAGTCAGTGTTGAGAACTCTGCCTGTGGTAAGCACCAGGTGGCCCAAATTTTCGCTTTTAATACTTGCTTTCCAGCAATTCGACTACAATGCACCTACATGTTTGAGTTTAACCTAGTACAGGATCATGGAACTTCTTAAAATATGTAATATTTGTGACTTTCACCAAATATAGAAAGCTCCAGCCATTATTCCTTCAAATACTTTCTCTTACCTCATTCTTTCAGTCCTCTTCTTTTTATGGCACTGGAATGAACCCAGAGCCTCTGCAGTGAGCAATATCCCCAGCCCTTTAAAAAAAATTGAGACAGGGTCTAAGTTGCCTGGGCTGGGCGTGAATTTGCAATCCTACTATCTCAGCCTCCTGAATAGCTGGGCTTACAGGCACGTGCCATCACACCTGGCCTCTCCTCTTTGCTCATTTGTTTGCGCATGCAGACATCAAGGCATTGTCCTTCAGGTCGCTGAGCCTTTTTTACTTTTCAGCTGGCTCAAGATCTGCTGATTCCTGGCCACCTTCACTGAGCTTTCCCTCTGTCATCTGCACTCTTGCTATGCCCAGTCAGCTCTGTTTAAGATATTTCAGCTTTTGGTTCCAAAATTTCTATTTAAAAATATAATTTTCTTATGTTTATTGTGCAATCTGTTCAGTTGTTAAAGGCATGTATTCCTTTATATCAGTGATTATAGTTGTAACATTTGCTTTACAACTTTAATTCCATACTTGGGTCCTATCAGGTTGATTTCCATGCTTTTTTTTAATGGATGATCTTCTTTTCAGATTAACTTTGGATTGTATCCTGGACCCTGATGGTTTGTAGTAAGTCTGGATTAAGACTATTCACTGTGATAGCCACCTGTGAGTATTCACCTGGAGGGCCTCAGACTGCAAATCCCATAGGCAGCAGCTCTGATCTCATTTCAGCGGTTTTATTTGCAGATAGGCTGCTTGGAGTCTGCCTTACACCTGTGGTCAGGAAGTCAGCTACAGATTTGGGCAGCTTATCAGTGTTGCTTGGCTCTGACCCTCTCGCTCTCTCTCCTTTCTGGGATGACCTCTTGCTCTCCAGAGGTTGTCCCTGTCCAGTTCTGTATTCAGCTCCTCAGGCCAGAGAGACTGCAGGCCGCCTTGGGGTCTGAGAGGCCCTGCACGGGCTGGACCCTGTCTTGGCCTTGGGCTTACAGCTGTGAACTCAGGGACCACTCTGTGCTCTTCCCCTTTCCAGGTGTCAACTCCTCTCCACATCTGCCTGCTCACCTTCTGGTGACAACAGGCAGGTGCTGGTTTGTGTCTAGAGTGGGGGGAGGGGTAGTTCAATCATTCACTCTTCCAGAATTAGAAGCCTAGCTTCTGTGAATGACAGTAACAAGACAAGCTGGGATTTAAAAATTCGTTTTGTGGCTAGGTGTGGATTACGTTGGTAATCCCATTACTCAGGAGGCTGAAGCACGATTGCCAGGTGTCCAAGGCCAACCTGAAGTGCCTGGCTAGACCCTCCCTCAAAAAAAATCAATTTGCATTGAATGTATAGATTCTGTTTGGAAGCACTATTATTATTTACAGTATCCATCAGATCTTCACCTGTTTATCTGCTTTCCTAAATCATGTTTTAGTTTTTCCTGACCTTGCATTTTTGAAGTTTTTATATTGAAACACTTGGTTTTTGATACTCTTGTAAAGGGTTTTAAGCCAGGTGTGGTGGTGTATGCCTGTAACCCCAGAGTTTTGGGAAGCTGAGGCAGGATTGCTTATTTGAGCCCAGTCTAGGCAACTTGGTGAAATCCTGTCTCAAAATTTAAAAATAAATAGACAGATAGGTCTGGGGGAGCAATTCAGTGTGGAGGACAAAGGTTCAATCCCTAGCACTTGGGGGAAAAAGGTTTTATTTTAAAAGTTTCCTTTTTCACATTGTTGTTGACAGTTTTATACATCTCACCCTAACAGCTAACACTAAACTTTACTAATGACAAGACCTTTGTGGCTTGGTGCATGTTCCAAAGCACCTGCAGTGAAAATGTTTTCAGGAGGGTGGAAGTGCTAGTCAGTTTTCTGTCACTGTAACAAAACACCCCAGACAATTAACTTACAAAAAGTTTATTCTGTCTCAGTTTCGCAGGGTTTAGTCCATGGCTGGTTGGCCCTATGGTGAGGCAGCACACCATGTGGAGTGCCTGGCAAAGGAAACTACCTCTTTCATAGGCCGGAAATGAGAGGAGAGGACTGGGGCCTCACAGTCCCCTTTGAGGGCCCTCTCACTAACCTCCACCTCCTGGATTCTTCCACCTCCCATGAGCACCACTCTCGGACTGAGCCTTTCACACAGGGTCCTTTGGGTGGCATTCAGGGATTAGAGGCTATCAAATGAGCATGTTCACTGTTTGGGGAGTAAGATAGTTTAGGAAGTACAAAGAAATTCTAACAAACCACCTGATGACACAGGGTCTTAAAAATGTGAAACCCAGCAGCAGTGTACTTACAGAAGGGGAGGAGGTGGAGACACCCAGGAAGGCTGACTTCGAGTTGTCAGGTCAGGGCTGCTCTCTCAACTGCAAAAACACTCATCTGAGCTCAACTGCGAAGCTCACTCATGGCTGCTATAGTGAGGTCTTCTTGGGAATCAGGGTTTGAGTCTGGCTTTCTACCCTGTCCGAGAATATGTACTGCTGAAGTGGGCACAAAGATACGGCTTTGGGCCACAGACTTATACTTCCTAAGCTTTAGTCTGCTTTCCTGCTAACAGGCTTGGCTGGCATACAGGGTGTGCTACCAGTACATTAGTCCTGATTGTCCCTTGTGAGTCTTGCTTGACTGAGCAGATTTGAGCTCTGCACTTTCTTGAGAAAGTAGGGCAGGGAGGAGCTGTCTTGACCAGTGGCCTGTTTACCCGACTCCCCCAATTATAGGCTGCTGCATCCTACACCTAGCTTCCCTAGGATGTGTTCTGGGGTGAGGGGTTCAGGCCAAGGGCCTTCTGACCTTTCCAAGGTCTTCTCTCCGTACGTAAACTCATCACTTGGTACACAGAGTGAACAGCGACCCTTTCCCCCTATAATGTAAGGAAGTGACCTTATTTGGTGGTCATCTTCACAGATATAACGAGCTAAAAGATCTCTTGATGCAATCATGCTGCATTTAGGTGGATCTGGAATCCAAAAACTAGTATGGTGGATGTTGTTATTCTGACAGGGTCTCGCTATATAGTCCAGGTTGGCCTTGAACTCTTGCCAATCCTCCTGGATCAGCTTCCCAAGTGCTGGAATTACAGGCATGTGCCACCATGCCCAGCCCGGACTGGTAACTTTATAAGAGGAGTGTCAGCTATTCAGGAGGTGGAGGCAGTAAGTTGATGTGGGCCTGATTTCCAGGTAATCACAGGCACCTTGTCTCAGGGGGAACATAAGACAGAAGATACAGACAGGCAGGAAGCAGTAAGGTACAGACTGGAGTGATGGTACCACAGCCATGGACCACCTCGAGTCACCTGAAGCCAGAGTCAAGGAAGGACCTGCCCTACAGTGTCCATGTTGCTCACACCTCCATTCCAGTCTTCTAGAGGCGGAAGAGAATGAATTTGTTGCTTTAAGAGCATGTGCATGTTAATCTGTTATGGCGGCCCTCTGCATCTCCTGTGTTCAGAAGCTAGGTGCATGCGGATCCTTCTGACTACGGATGTGTCCCTTCATCTGCACACAGAGGAAGGCTGCCAGCTGGGCTGGAGGTCACCTAGGAAATGGGGCTCTGGGAACCAGCCTTAGGCCCCCAGCTGCCACACAGCTGTCTTTTTTTAAATTGTCCTATGGTGAAGGACTCCATGCAGATAAGAGCACAGAAAATAAAACAAGCAATGCATATAGTTCGCAGCTGGAGCAAGATGGAAATCATTGATTTGCAGTTATGTTCATTCTTTTTTATTTTTTTGTGTGTTTTGAAACAAAGTCTTGCTATATAGTTCAGACTGCCTTGAGCTCACTACATAGCACAAGCTGGACTCGAAATTACAGTGATCCTCCTGCCTTGGCCTCTCGAGTACAGGTGTGTGTTACCACTGCTGGCTCAGTTACGTTTATTCTTATATTTAAGTGTCTCATACTCTACTTGTATTGGAAAAAATAATGTACTGCTTAATAAATTTAAAAGGCCCACAAAGCTGCTGCCTTGCAGAAACACTTTTCTGCCCACAGCCCTGCTTATCTGCAGCGTGGTTGGCAGTAAGGGTGTGTTTTGAGTTTGCTGTTACTAATCACAAACTAAGGTTCAAACATGGTGTGTATAATTTATTTTTTAATTTTTGGTACCAGGGATCGAACTCAGGACCTTGAGCTTGCTGAGGCAGACAGTGGCACCACTGAGCTAAATCCCTGGCCCTAATTTACATTTAACCCCTCCCCCACTTTGGTACTGGGATTGAACTCAGGACCGTGAGCTTGCCAGGCAGGTGCTCTACTCCCACCCTTCTCTTTTTATGCTAGATTTAAAAAAAAATTTTTAAACCACAAGTCAACTGCTTGTGGCAACATGTAAAACCATATGAGATATTTATTATTTCACTTTACTGCTCTGTGGTGCTAAATCTGAGCTATGCAGTATTCCCTAGCCCATAGAGCTATTTAAGGCAAACTGTCCCAGAATCACTGGGCAACAAGGTGAGTGTGCCCACTGCTCCTTGCACACGCATTACAAGGGTAGGACACACCACACTCCCTAACTCACTGCGTCCTCAAATCGGTCACTGCTCTTGGAAACACTGAGTTGTAACTGAGCTGCCTCTACTGCGGCTCTCACATTTCCCCATCCTTTGGTGCAGAAAACTGCCCTTCAAGGGATGTTGGAATGCACAGGTGCACATCCTTTAACCCTGCCACACCCTTCCATGGTACAGTTGGGATGTGGAGAGCTGCAAAGGGTGCTGGGGATGATGTCAGCAGATGCCTGGGTGGGGGCACAGCCACCCTTCAGAGGCCTGGAACCACAGGGTGTGGAAGCCTTACTGAAGATCTCAGCAGCGTGGTGGCAGTGGGTGTGCAGGATGGGGTGTGAGCCCAATTACGCGGGCTTTTGGGGTGGAGGCCTCCGGATCTGGGTTGTACTCACTGTGCGGCCAATCAGAGCTTGCCCTGCCTCTGTGTGAAGCGGAGGCACACGCTGAGCTACTTATCAGCCGTTTCTCACTGTACATGCTGCACAAGGGACTGCTGGTGGCCTGCTGATGGACTGACCTACTTGAAAAATGTCCTAATTGTGTAGTTGTCAACATTTAAATATTCTGAAACTTGGAACTGGAGGTGTGGCTCAGCAAGAGTGCTTGCCTAATGCGCCTCAGGCCCCAGGGTCCAATCCCCAGAAATGAACCAAAAGCCCAGAGATTTTACCTCTAGCCCTGCATTTCTACTCTTGTTGGAAAAGGGCCCACATTGAGTTTAAGGTGCCCCCAGGAATGAGCCGGCCCCTCCAGGCAAGGTTCAATTCATTGCTATTCATTTACTGACCGGTCCTGAAGGGCAGGATTGGAGCTAAATCTCCAGTGGTCCGGTATAGAGGCTCCTCCCAACCTCTCTCCCTTCGGATAAGCACCTTTCTCAAGCTCCAATTTGGGCCACTCCTTAGGGGGTCAGGATGACCTTCAGTTATCAGTAAGTCAGTCTGGAAGGCTGGAGAATCCCCCGCAGGGGCCCATTCACACACTGCTTTTCGGATGGGGTGATCCCTTTCAAGACCGTGAAATAAAACTCACTTTATCAGCAGCTCACTGACTGTGGAGGAGCTGTGCTCAGGGCGGGGAGGTCTCCCGCCAGGAGAATTACTCTTTGGAAACCGTTTCCGGGCTTAAAAAAAAAAAGTGTTGGGGAGACACCCGCCAATGTCCAATAACACCATCTTTCGGCCAAAGCAGCACCACTTGGAAAGAAACGGAGTATTACTCGAATTATTGCTATAGAGAAGGTCCTTGTAAACGTGAGGTGATCGACGACCGCACTCCTCCTATAAAGACAGAACGGAAAACTGCTTCCGGGTGTGGAGGCCTCGTTCCCAGGCACGAACGCGCGCCGGTGAGCACTGCCCTCTTACCCATGGTGGCAAGTCGGGGAGCTGGCGGCAGTCCTGGCGGCGTCCTCTGCGCG